ACAGTTCTCTTCGATTGCTTCTTCTTGTCACTCACTGAACCTGTGGCCCGCCACTTTTTCAGAAGCCTGTTTACACACGACTTTGTGGGAACTGGCGAGTCAGGATATTTCTGACGAAACCTACGTGCGAATTTTCTGTAAATGTTTTTCCTTGCAATAGTTTCGACAATAAACACACGCTGTTTAATAGTGAACTTCATTTCCACCGTCTGTCGACAGCTGTAAACATTCCACTCCACTTCCACAGCAAGACAAAGACTGACTGTTTAATGCAACCTCGGGTTCCGATTATGCAACCATCGGCGTAGGAGCACTGCAGTCGCGGGGAGGAGTTGCATCCGTTCTGCGGTGGTATGACTCACGGCAAATTGCAGCCGCGGCGCGCACTTGATTGTACGCACTGTATTTTTTCCCCCTTAGCACTACAGCCCCAGTGGGCTAGGCCTACCTCCATGAACTACGTTCACTTCTGTTTTTCTAGATCTTACACATTCGGTAGGACTCCTTGGGTGAGTGATCAGCTCGTCGCAAGGCCTCTTCCTGTACACAAACACAGAAAAATGCACACAAACATCCGTGCCCTGAGTGCGATTCGAACCCACGATCTCGGCTTCCGAGCGAGCGAAGACAGTGCATGCCTTAGACCGCTCGGCTACCGTAACCGGCAGCACTTCTTAATATAGCCTATAATAATTCGTTTAATATCCCAGGTTTGAAAAATATACAACCTCACTCCCTCACTCATGGACCTGAGCCCTTCTTGAGAAGCCGCCAATTGTGCAGTTACTCAAGAATTTCCCAGCATCTTATAAAAACCCGAAAGTTCATTACCGTGTTGACAAGAGCCAGCCACTGGTCCCTCTCCTGAGCCAGATCAGTCTAATCCATACCATCCCATTCTATCTCTCGAAGTTCCAGTTTAATATTGTTCACCCACCTACGCCTTATTCTTTCCAGTGGTCTTTTTCCTTCTGGATTTCCAACCAATATCCTATATGCATTCCTCTCCTCCCCATTCATGCTACATGCCCTGCCCCTAACCTATTTGAATTATTGTTCTGCCGTAGAACAACAAACAGCAAGATATAGGCTTAACTGACAAATACATCATAGCCTGATATCGAAGCAATATCCATTATGTACAGAAACAATTCAATTAAGTGTATAACACTAATTTATATTTCTTTCTTGTCTCAGTGAAGCATTTCAACGAAAGCGGCCATCGTAAATTCTTCCCAGAATATTTTTATTTGAAGATTCTTGATGCTCAGATACATAAGGAAGTCCAACATGAATGTTGAGCCATCAGCGTGTTGACTTCACTGGTGCTGAGAGTCTGCACAAGTTGTCACCTCTAGTGAGGATAGCAGAAGCTACGTATAAATATTTAGTTAAACTGTATACTTGCCTACTTCTCTCCATAATTTCAGTTTTTCAGGCTCCTGCTAATTTGAACTCATGAAATATAATTTCCAACATTTGCATCTCGTCATACTCTCAATGTTTGTTCCTTCAGAGCAACATGGAAACGTGCGAGAATATGATGTTTTGTGCATGTGTCTTTTTGCGGACGCACGCACTCTCAGACTTCCCGATCGACTGAGCATTTCTCATAATTTGATGTGAACATCATATCATTTCTCCAGCATCACACTGTGACAAGATGCCTCTAAACCGGAATAGCGGAGTCATACTAGATGTTCATTGCTAGGCAACCGCTCGATAAACACATTCCCACGGCAACAAATACGCAAGAAAAAATCGAAGAACTGACGTTTCTATGCCACGACTAGGTAAACACACCTCTATAAAAATAGAGGAAGGGTTGGGAAACAATGTTTTCTGTTGGGGCCGACCCGAAGCTGTATAACGAGGATCCCAGGCCAACTGGGAGTCTCCTGAGACGTTAGTCGAAGATAACTGACACGAGACGGCAACGAGTTCAGTTGAAGACTGTATGTGTGCTGTAGTTACAGTGACACTGTTATAAATCCGTTGCCAGGATACGACTAATGAATATTGAGAAGAATCAGCGTGTCCAAGTGATTTGTAGTGTGGAAATCAGAAACTTGCGAGTTGTATGTTGAAGTGCTTAATAAATCTAATATCCAATCCAACCCCCTATTATAGTCAGAACAATAATAAAAGTGAGAACATTTTCTCATTTCTTGCAGTCGGTATTAGGCAACATAGTGGGACTACGAACTTTTGAGCTCGGAGTCACACTAGTACCACTAGTACTAGTACACTAGTACTAGGGTCTCAAAATGACGTTGAACAAATATTGCATGAAAGTTATCCTAAACTTGAAAGATTTGAGGTTTTCACGGCAGTGACTATGAAGAAAGCCATCTTCCGGTATGTGGCGCCGTGTAGATATTGTATTAACCGACGTTTCGGAGGAAAGTATCACCTCTGTGCTCACGCTGGTTTCTCGCTCGCGGATTTTTCTTCATTTTCTTTTACCCTGAAGATGGAGGCAATACATTCCTCTGAATCGTCGGTTAATACAATATCTACACGGCGCCACGTACCAGAAGACGGCTTTCTTCCTATCCTAAACTTGCCGAATACTTTTCCGTAGGATTAAAAATGAGATTGTGACCGTGTGAAAATGACAACTTAATTTTCAGTCTGACCGCGATAATTAATCTAATATTTGGACTGGAATATGAAATTTTGTAAGAAGATATACTATAAACATATTAAGTTTTGTATAAATGTTGCATAGACCTTTATATACACAATTATAAACATTCTGATACTGCAAACCTCTGAGGTTGTATCTTAAAACATATTCAGAATGTGTACGTGCTCTTCGGTTTTTGCGTTCTGTTTTGTTTCTAAGATAATAAATTATATTCAGATGCAATGATATAACTATTAAGTATTAAACGTTCTTAATTTAATCCACTATATGTCTCTACCGTACTGATGGGTCATCATCAGGTGGTAAATTTTGTCTACTTTACGAAACACGGTACGTCATAGCTCGTGTAGGCAAGGTTACAGAAGTGAATTCCTGTGTAATTGTGTCTTAATTTCCTGCTGGCATATAAAGGTCGGAAGTGTGTTAGGAACAAAATCTCGCAACTTCCTAAAGATGATGTAACCGCCTACGTCACTGAGTAAGGATGACTCACCCTTATTCCTATGGTGGATGCAGTATGCAGAACTTAAATATTAACCAATGAATTGTAATACCATATGCCTCATTGAACATGGACTCCTTGTCCATAAGTTTAGACTTGATCTATTGCCGAGCTAAAGAACTATCGTATTATAATATATTAGCATTAAAATATAAGTATTTTTTTTTTCTGTGGCGCTGCAGCCCCAATTTGGGCCTAGGGCTACCTCCATGAAACTCTCCGTTTCACTTCGGTTTACTAGATCTTACACATTCAGTAGGACTTCTTGGGCGAGTGATCAGATCGTCGCAAGGCCTCTACCTGTAGACAAACAGAAAAACGCACACGAACATCCATGCCCTCGGTGGGATTCGAACCCACGATCCCGGCTTCCGAGCGAACGAAGACAGTGCATGCCTTAGACAGCTCGGCTACCGTGACCGGCAAAATATAAGTATACAATTGATAAATAATAAACATAAAATGTAAATAAAATATAAATATAAATTTAGTGTAAAATACAGATAAAGTAGAGCAAATGTGGGAGCCGGAATAGCTCAGTGGGTATAGGGATGGACTACGGGCTGGTCAGTCTTGGTTCGATTCCTGGCAGGGGCAAATAATTTATTCTCCACATCATCCAAACTGCTTCTGCGCCTCACCCAGTTTCGTACCCAATTGCAATGGGGGTAAAGCGGAGTAGGCCTGAAGCTGACCACTCACCTCCATCTAGTGCCGAGTTCCAGAATAGTGGAGCTACACCTCCACCCCATACGTCTTCATCGAAGAGTGCTTAACTGATTAAGTACAAGGAGAGCTTTAGGTTTTACGGAAAATCTATTTGTACACATAAATGATCTGTGTTTATATCTATTAATTATTAATTACCTAGTGATTATAAACTTCTCTGTCTTGTACACAGTTATCATGTAGAGTTACGTGGTTGAAATATTGATATTAAAAAACTGTAGAAATGTTGTAATGTTGATGTAGTAGCAGTAGTGTGACCCGCCTGATGATGTTGCTTTTGTTGCAGTGTGTCAGGCTGTCGTGTTTGAGAGTTTGCCTTTAACATGAAGTTTATGTTAACTTTGTATGTAAATGTTTGCTCAAGTTGTATTGACGTGCGCTTATTTTTTCTTACTTTTTAGGATTTCCTAACTCTCTCTGAAGTATTTACTATAGGATTTTGACGATGGTGTGTAACACACTGATATATTGGGTGTTTGGGTTTTGGGTTTTTTTAGGTCCAGTGATTGAGGCTAGCTCTTTCTAACGGACCCAACTGAATAGGTATTTTCCTTCACCTGAGGACGGAAACAGATCCAGTTTCCGAAACGTCGTGTTTTTATTAGTTATCTTAAAAACCAGGACGATGGATAAAGTCCAAAAACCCAATATATCAGTCTATCTGAAGTGTATTTGTGAATTGCCTTTCCTTTACGGTTCATATTGTGATATTGCCTACAATAGCTGAATATAATAATTGACGAATTGCTTGTGATATTGTCGAGTCTGTAATATTTCCTATGCTAAATGCGGTGTATTATTTTGACTTGTGTCACTCTGTGTGATCATTTTCTACATTACACTGTGCTTCCTATTCAATGGGGTATATCGGAAGGTACTTAATTAAATAAAGGTTAAGTATTGTATCACCTGAAGATGACCAGACATTATAGTCGAAACATTTAGTCTATGAAACAAATCGCGTTATATACTAAATAACTATGTTCTTGGTTTCAATAGAAATTCTGTCTACACGTACATAAGTAAAAACATCATCCCAGATAAAAATAATAACAATAATGTCTCTTAAGTAATACATCACAACTGAAAAAGTATAACGCACTCAATATCATATACGAATTCGTAAGTAAATTCTGTTAACACATGATCTCTAGCTGAGCATATTAAAGCAATCAACTACATTACTTACTACCCCTGAGCGATAGACTTACTTGCACTGCCTGAACATACCACTCAAAACGTAATACATTTTGAAGATTAAGGAATTGGCCAGCCGACCTGAGAGAGGGTTAACGAGGACTTATCTCTTGATAAGCCCTCTCCACGTCACGAAGGACTACAGCAAATTAGCTTATAGAATCAATCGTAATTCTGATTGCTAATATTATGTAAATAATAAAAAAAATTTGAAGATTCGTTGAAGCATGCAACACGTTTAAGGACATTTCCTCGAGTGTCTCTGACACTTTCAATTAAAAATCAATAGCATAAATATAATAATGACTGTTTACGCACGCTCATTTTATTCTGATGAATGGGTAAGTTTCACATGAAGCCGTATCTCGATGAACAGGAAATTGCAACTCTGTCCAATAAATCTCACATATACCAGGAGGAAATCGTCACTCTCCCTCAGCACCTGGGTCTAATTCTGACCTCTGTTCCACGTACTCTTCATTAACTGCTGTGTACCTTACAGAGAGGCATACCAGAGAAAGCTAACCAAATCTGCAATCCCATAAGTTCTGGAGGATACTTTCCTTATCATACACAGTAGCCGACTTACACTGTTAGGAAAACTTAATGTGGGCTTTGACATTTCTCCGAGACTTTAACAGATAGAAACGACATCAAGACCTTTTTTCTTTTAAACTCGCTTACTGGTGGGTGGAGTCCAACTGAGTCCACTCGGCACGGCGGCCATGATTGGCCTATTGTAGCCTGCCCCGGGTGATTATGATGATGGAGAATTTTGTGGAATGAAGATTGGCATGGGGACCCCGAAGTACCCGGATAAAACCCGCTCCAGCGCCACTTTGTCTACCACAAACCCCACTTGACCAGACTCGGGATCGAAACCGGGCCGCTGCGGTGGGAAGCCAGTGACTAACCGCTTGAGCTGTGGCGCAGCCACATCAAGAACTTATTATTATTAGAGGGGGTGGGCTTCCCCATGCACTTAGACCAGTTATTGGTCCATTGTGCGTCCCCCTTTAATTTCTACTGTCGCCATACCCTACCGGTACTGGTGCGTGCTATCAGCCCCGTTCAGCCAACGAGGTCGGCCGTCGGTACCTGATATTTCTCCCATCTACCAGAGGCATTGGAAACTACTTGGGCGGGAAATTGTTGCCTAAGTTTGCTCAGAGGTCTCCTAGAGACATGAGGATATCTTACGTGCCGTAAATCTACGACACGGGACCCACCACTTAAAGTCCCTCCCGGAGGACTTGTTCCCTGAATTTTTCCGTCCTTAAAATTTCCACGACATTCGCCGGGTTTGAACCCGCGTACCTTGAGTCATAAGACATCAAGAACTTACTTCTAGATGTAAGTAACAAAAAGCACATATTGAGTGTGCCTTGACATTGAGGAATCAGTGAGTGCTCCATACTGTGAACCTGCAGCAGTTACTTCGAACCGATCTGCCTTGTGCTGCACGAATCCATAGTTCACACACACACATATACAGTAAGTTCTATTATTCATGAAAGTGAATATATTAATAAAATGTTGAACTAAATTAGCCACTTAAATCAGTCCTCTAAAATGTTTGTGTCATCTGTGTCATCTTCAGTGTTAATTAACTTCCAGTGTGCCTGTGTTATCACCTACCTAACATTCCTGTCATTTCAATTAGTGGGATGATGCGCTATCTTAGCTTATTATCTCTTCTTCCTGTTTCTAAGGCAACACACGGCAAAACCAAAAAATGTATGGAAACATTCGTGCTGACAGACGTTTAACTATCAATGAACTTCATCAACAATGACCAGATGTGTCAAGAACTGTTCCCCATGTCTAAAAGAGCAGGCAGGAGACTTCTACGGCGCTGAAATAAAGAAACTCCTTCCCGTGCTCACTGAGTGCATTGGGATCCATGCTGAATATATTGAAAAGTAAATAATGGTGTGTTGTAAAAGTGCTACAAGTGAATCCAAAAAAGAGAATGCTTTATAAATATTTTCTTGACTTTGTATCTTTACTCTCCGGATATCTTTTGTCTTTATAAACTTCTGTACAGTAGGCAAATAGGTTTCAAGGGTTCCGCCATGCATTTCTTATGCATTTTACGACAGGAAATTAAAATTTAACAAATGAGCTTATCTAACAGAGAACCGCAACAGTGGGACCACATTATTGTGTACGTGTCTTATTGTGATTATTTAAAATGTTGAAAGTACTCTGTGGTCTTGTGGTCAGAGTTCCTAGCTACAGGTCCAGAGGTCCCGGGTTAGATTCCCGGCGCTACCAGTTTTTCTGAGAAGTGGTGGGTCTGGAACTGGGTCCACTCAGCTTCGTGAGGATAATTGAGGAGCTATTTCAAGGAAATAGCGGCTCCGGTCTAGAGAACCGAAATTAACGGTCGTGGGAATTCGTTGCACTGACCACGCGACACTCTCTATACGCTAAAAGCTGGCACTAACTTCGCCGGCAAGAGGCGGTCAGTTTGCCGGTATAGTTCGCTTACGGACTAAGAACACGGAGTTTGTTTGTTTGTTTGTTTGTAGCTCGTTATTCTAGTCCTCAGGAAAATTCTGGACGTGACCCATCACTCACTCTTGAGTTCGGCGCCGTCCGGTGTGCAAGGCCCCTTCTCCAGCAAACACTTGACGTAGTTGTTTACGAGGCGATCACTACGTAGAATCTCGTCCACGTTTATGCTGTCCCACCTGAAACACAACGTAATCCAACGCACGTGATTTTATGCCAGGTTTAAGGCAGCGTCTACACGAGCGCACAAAATACACTTGTAGTCCACTAAGGAATGGAGTCGTTGATTGTGAGCTGTCATAATTGAATGTAATTGCAAAGAAGTGCCAACAAATCGAATCGTCCCATCCAAAACCCGTTATTGTTCGTCACGGAACCCAAGACACGTGACACTATTGAAATGCACAAGCTTCCTTCGGCCTAAAATTGTCGACACTGAATTTAATTTAGTNCACACCGTTACCGGTAGGATATGGCGACAGTAGAAATTAAAGGAGGACGCACAATGGACCAAGTGGTCCAGTCCATGCACTGGTCTAAGTGCGTGGGGAAACCCACCCCCTCTCATAATACATACATATAGGTTGATTTTCAAAATCTACGTGACATTTCTTTCCAGAAGACAGAACTCTTCATCTTCGTTTGTTTCTGTATTTCCCCGATAATATACGTAGCCTTAGACGCGGTTTTCTGTGTACCGTTACTAACCAAATAGACAGCTTCCTATGAATTTCATCTCTTGAATCCTACTTTTATTTACATGACATATAAAAGTAATTTACCGGTCACATTAGCCAAGTGGTTTAAGGCATGAACTGTCTTCGCTCGCTCAGGAAGCCGGGATCATGGGTTCGGATCTGTTTCCTGTGAGGTACGAACTGAATTCTTATATATTCTTATACACTGTCAGTCACGGTAGCAGAGCGGTCTAAGGCATGAACTATCTTCGCTCGCTCAGGAAGCCGGGATCGTGTTTTCGAATCCCACTCAGGGCATGGATATTTGGTGTGTATATACGTTTTTCTGTGTTTGTGTTGTCTCGTGTTTAGATAGCGGCCTTGCGACTGGCCAATCACTCGTCCAAGTAATCCTACCGTCTGTGAAATGACTAAAAGAATGAAAGAAACGTAGATACCCGTATGAGGGTAAAAGAGGAACGGATGGAAAAAAATAAAAAATAAATAAAAGTACTTTTCTTTAGTACTAATGTGCTGCACTTTGATGTTCGTTTGTTTTTCGACCTGCATGATGTCATATTTCATTTTGCAAAACATTCCTAAAAATTTAAAATATCTGAAACTTTGAGAATTATGATGGTATGGTCTTCTTCATATGTTTTATTATCACACCTGGATGTCTGTCCTCTATCGGTTTTTTTATTCGATTATCGCACCTTCTATATTTTCGATATTTTCTTACTATATATTATTGATCACTTGCAGCACTACCAGTTTTAATAACACTGTATTTTTTGGGTCACGCTCGTGATTTATTGGTCAGTTCCAAAATTTTAATATTCTGTTACATTTTCCCATTATTTTTAAAGTCTAGTACACAAAAAATATAAATAGAAGACATGAAAATTGCGAATTATAATGACGTCAAACCAATGCGTGCATATACACAATTTTGCAATAATGTATGAGCTGTTATGCCACGCGATATTGAACCTTATGTCAGTGTGACGCTACCTTAAGACGCCTGCGCTTCATAGAGTTGCGGTGGTTGTGTATTCCTTCGCAACGAGGATCGACTCTGTCTCATGGAGAAACTTGCTTTTGGCCATGCGAAGTTACGAGCAGCATGGTTACGTGTTACGTCTTCTGGACTCCTAATTTTAAGACTCGTTTTATGACATTCAAGGTTTTATTCTCCAAAAATAAACAAAACGCATCATCACAATTTATCACTTGTTACTGCAATAAAATTAATTGCTTTAATGTGTTTACGAATGTAATGACCTTGATTAATTCAATGAAGTCAACAACGAATGGAAGTGCATAATGCTGCCTGCATTCTCCGAAACAGTCAAGCATGAGCATACGGAGTGTAATTAACTAATTACCACACCTAATATGGCGTCATGATGACCTTCAGTTGGGAACTGTCTGACTAACTCAGAGATTTACTGAATGACAAAATAATTCAAAGTAAAGAGACCTTCTTTAAAATCTGTTAGTTGTTCAGCTGGCCAAGATATTTCCTGCCCTTTTTCAGGACACTTACTGTCATTACCATGTTCAGAACAGTCCTTCATTAGATCCTATCGTAAACCAGTTAAATCGAATACATAATTTACGTGCGTGCTTCTGTAAAGTCCATTCTCGTGTTACTTTCTCATCTCTGCCTAGGTCGCTTTCATTGTCTTCTCTCTACAGATTTTCGTATAAAATGTTTCTCTGTATCTCCCTCAAGCATGTTACATGTCTCGCCCTTCTCAGCTCCCCAGATTTTATCACCAGAATAATGTTTTGTGAACGAGAAAATGACGAAGCTTTTCTTTATGCGATAACAGGAAAATTCACAGATTTGCGTTTATCATAACAATTGCTTCACAGGTTTCTTTAAAGTTATGGGATTTTAATTTTTCACTGCAGAGAAAATTTAGTTTGTGGTCTGGTGGATTATAAAACAATACAGTATCACAGACGCTCACAAAAGTTTCTGATGTACATGCTGCTTACGTTTTCAGGTTGAAATTCGATTATGATTTGACTTAAAAGATAAGACTGGGGTGTGACCTGTGCGTGACGCAATATGAACGTACTGTTCACTTTGCCACTTCATTTGTATCTCAGTTATTGCATCGTGAAATGAAAGCCAGCTCTGTTTGGCGTACAGTTCTCCGCGTCTATATCTGAAGTTAATCACCGTTATTGCCCTACAATATTGTGCGCACAACTGCCACTTCACAATGTTTTATTTATATGTGTGAAAGTCTGACCTGGTCGTGTACTTCTCGTCCTGAGGAAGTCCGCCTCTGCAAGCAGGTGCTACCAAAATCAGTAAACCTATGACCGTGATGGTACCCGCCATCTTGTCTCAACCACAATCACTCTGTACCATTATTATATACCACACAACTAAATTACCAACATAATGTATGCCAACCAATCCCGCTATAGTCCTTGTGAGAAACACTAACAAGCTTCTCATATGCATAGTCCAAACAAATCGAATCTACAAAATTGTACGCATGTCAAATTTGGTATCAGAATTTATATGAATTACTCAAATTTTCCGCACGAAAAACTGATAAAATGAGCATATATTATGTAAATTCTTTCCTACGTTACATAAAAGTATGCCTCTAGGTCCGAACGTATTCGGTTGCCACAAGAACTGTAAACCTGAGAGTAAAGGGGCCCATACACATACGAGCCTGGCTCGCGAGTCCGGCTCCGCGAGCTTGACTCGGGAGCCGTGCTCGTATTAATTTCACCACAAACGCATGAGCTGACTCCCACACACGGACGTGTTTGGCTCATTGGAACCCGAGCCGAGTCGAACTCGCAAGCGAGACTCGTACGTGTATGGGCCCCTTAACTCATAATGGTCGTAACATTAATCAAAGCACGGATATTTGTCAATACAATAATTGAGTATTAAGGCTGGGGCCACACGAGCGCACAAAATGCGTCCCTTGTAACGAACGTCGTGACGTCCGTTGTAGAAATAAACAAGAGAGGCGAATGCTACGCTTTCTTCTGGCTCCATTGCAGACAGAAGAAAACTACGCACCGCATTCTGCAACTGTGTGGTGTCCTCAGCAACGGACGTACTTCGTGCGCTCATGTGGCTCCAGCCTAAGTTAACAAGATGAATAAAATGGTAACATTACCATTATCCGCACGCTCACCACAGATTTATTGATCATCCTAAGCTGCTTTTATAAATATATACATGGTTATAAACTTCAACCAAAATATATATTTTTTCACAATTAAAATGTTTATATTTTTATAAATATTCATTTGTAAAACATCAAAATATAAAGTCCCTCGCCCCTGGATTAAGGTCATGATTGATATGAAGAGCCTATGGTATCGCTGGATGTGTACCACTCTAGTGTGTTACTCCTCCAGTTCTGTGTCTGGGTGGCGTACGTATACTTCATAACGCGAAACGCTTTTGTAGATTATAGCGGTTTGAAAGGCTCTGTTTGTAGTAGTTTTGAGTAGAAACCGGTATACGGTAACTGTCCTGAGGAGTAGAGTCCCGTGGGCATGTGGTACAGTTGCTGCTGGAAGATGTGGCATAAGAATGCTCATGCAGTCAGCAACAGAGCGGATGTCAGTAAGTCAGACTGTTATTGGTTAAGTTGAGGGTTGCTTGAAGCGTGTGAAGGAACGTCAAGGTTTTAACATTGTGAATCCACAAGAAGTGCTGCATGAACTTTTCATGTCACAATTAAAAGGCATAAAATATTGTCACGTTTCCATGACTAATCATAACGGATTCTGGATTGGATGATTGGATTTATTGGCACGTCTATTAAAAACAGAACCAACTATAACAGCTCACAATCGATGACTGTCTAAGACCCGCTCCATTCGTTACTGGACTCCGAGTGTCTTCTCTTCTGTTGTGACTGACTCGGTTCTCACTTACTGATCACTCTGTTCGTCTACGAATGAAGAATGGATTCGATCTTATTTGCACTGCTCTGGTTTTCAAGAGTTTATAATTTCTAGTTTTCGTACCCATCGAATTTTTTTTGTCCAACACCTAGCAACGGTTTTTTCAAGAATCGTTTGTCCGCGGCAACTTATTTCCAAATTCATTTCCTGGAAATGTCTGCTTATCACATTATCCATATAGAATATGGAATTCCGCGAAACAGAGCTCACTAGAAGTACGGGAGTATAACTGTCATGTTATGAGCAGTACTGTGGAAGCGCTGCATATTCGCATTTCATATATTCGTATGAAACTTTCTAAGTAGCTCTAGATGTTATTGTTTTTATTGCCTGTGGGGTGGGACTAAGTCCCTTGCACTGCGGCCACTTCTGGCCTATTGTACCAGCCCCAGATGATAGGTGAGGGTGATTGTGCAGCAGTTGGTGGAATGAAGATTGGCAGGGGAAACCCAAGTACACGGAGAAAACCTGCCCCAGCGCCACTTTGTCCACCACAAATCCCACTTGACAAGACCCGGGATCGAACCCGGGCCGCCGCGGTGCGAAGCCAGCGACTAACCGCTTGAGCTATTGCGAGGCCATTTCTCCAGATGGTACAAATATTATGTTTTTGGACATTATCCATCATTTTGTCTTTATCTAAAAATCGTCCTATTTATTTTTGAAAAATAAATAAGACGATGATTTCGGATAAAGACAGTACGATGGAAATGTCCAAAAACATAATATTTGTACCAATGTATCATCGTCACAAACTTTTAGATCTTATCAGCTCTAGATGTTAATATAGGGAATGTCTCTAATGATAGGCGACAGGAGAAATTCAAATAATGAGGTAACTGAGATAAATTACGAAATGTAAGGCACTGGTGTATTGGTTTTTGTGAAGCACGAGGAAAGAAATTTGCTATTTTTTCCCAAGCTTGTTGTTCTGGCCGGTAGAACGTAACAAAAGAACAAAGTAAGCTCATTCGACGAAATGCTCTTGTGATTGCTGAGTTTGGGAATTCCTCCTCCCAGTGTCTTGATTATTTTGAATGCGACATAGTCATCAGCAGAACGTGGTGTACGTCAGTAAACCAACTCACGTCATGCTTCACGTTTTCACCTCTGTAACTTTTTATATGCAAGTTTAGCCTTGTGTTTACAACAATCTTCTGGCTCTTCTTGGAAACCAAATTCATCGACCTCTATGACCGCTTATTATAAAACCTGTCTTGCTAGCTTCTAACATCAGATTTCACCAGATGGGACATGCCCTCTCCTGTTACTCGCGCTTATTAGCCTTTTTTTTTATTGCTAGTGGGGTGGGACTAAGTCCCTTGTACTGCGGCCACTTCTGGCCTAATGTACCAGCCTCATATGATAGGTGAGGGTGATTGTGGAGCAATTGGTGAAATGAAAATTGGCATGGAAGACCGAAGTACTCGGAGAAACCCTCCCCCAGCGCCACTTTGCCCACCAGAAATCCCACTTGACCAGACCCGGGATCGAACCCGGGCCGCCGCGGTGGGAAGCCAGCGACTAACCGCTTGAGCTATGGCGCGGCCTTAATATCCTTGAATTCATAGCTAACATCGCAGAGTTATATCAACTAAAATTTTAATGTCGATATATTCTGGTATTCGCTATTTCACCACGTGAAATTTGCGCATGAGTAGGAGAAATGGGGTATGAATACAAAGTTTTTGTTTGGAGTTGCGCAAGGAACGTGATAATCTGGGAGATGAGGGTTTATATAGGGATGTAATATTAAAACGGATATCAACCACGTAATATATTGTCACGATTTTCGGGACTATAAAAGGAGTTTGTATCAGCAATTGGATTTATTGCACTCAACCACTCGTAACTACAAGTCAGGATTATGCTCTCACTGTTGTACATACTTCATGAATCACTATAGATCACACTAGATCTTCTCAGTCTATTTCAGTCTTTGATATCCGTTGCTTGGTAACGGCTTCAATGGTGGACCTTCCACTTCCTGTGTATTCCCGCACTGTCCCCAACCTCAGCTACCAGTTCCTCACAGTAACAGCTCGCAAAAATTTAACTCCAGTAATTATCTGACTGCTTTTCAGTTGGTCAGTCAGTTAAATTGCTGCTGGTCTTCGTCAGCGCAGTCATTCCTGGCTTCAGTCTCCTTGAGTTCTATGAAAAAGATTTTTATTCTCTCGTAGACGTGTAGGTATTTCGAAATGGGGCTTCCTCTTCGATGACGGAGGGGCCGATCTTTCCATGTATGCGCTACGTTTGTTCAGCACGAGTATATTCGCTTTCTCTGGGCGTTCAAGTCACCATGGACTCGAACTATGAACCCTCTTCTCGAGAAGGACAAGGTGGCACACATTCGGCCCCCATCAAGAGAAACAATAAGAAAGACGACATGAACCTGCTTGGTTTATAAATTCCAATACAATTTTAACAAACCAAATACAAATACTTTAATGTATTGAAACATAATGTATTGAAACAGGCGCTGTAGTTGTAAAAACTTTAGATTTTTTACCCAATTGTATATTATTAATATTATATGTATATATTTTAACAGTTTTAACATTCAGAACACATATTGTGATAGTAACTTCCAACTGTATTTATGTAAAGGTGTCCCTCTGAAGATGGTCTCTGAAGACCGAAACATGTAAGGGAATAAATAATTTAAATTATAAAAGTTTTCACCAGTCACACTAGACGGGACTGTTTATTTCTTCATGACATTGGTAGTGTGACGGACCAGAATGAAACAAATCAAATTCTGTAAAGAATATATGACATCTAATTCCTTTATAATGTATAGACATAAAAAGATAGAGTAATATAATTGTACAATAGTAACTATACAATTTGTGGCATGTTCACAAAATATGGCCACGAAATCAGGATTGCAAATTTTGTCACCAAACTTTATAATCGTTAACATAATTTTAATTCTTGACATAAGTTACCCATGTGAAATTAACAGTTGCCTTTTTTGATATGGCTTTATGTGTATACTTCGCATTTCAGTGCCTCATTAATTATTGATTTCAAGTATATATTTAAATATTGATTAGCGCTACTACCGAACCATTTATTTTGCATTAAAAAAACAACATATTTTTGGAAAATGTCCCACTTAACAGAAGTTTGGGGTTTTCATGAAGTGGATTTTGAAATGTTCCCATTGAGAAATTCCCATGGACGCCAGCTTGATGGTGATTTAAAGTCGAAAATGNCCCAGAAGACTGCTTTCTTCATAGTCACCGCCGTGAAAGCCTCAAATGTTACAAAATGTAAGTTGTTATGTAACCGAGTGCTGTTCATACCAAGTTTCGGAAAAATCTGTTCCGTGGATAGGAAGCTATAAAATAAAGACGTAAGCTATAGAGGCCTGCTTGTACTCTCGAAGCGATTTGT